CTCAAATACCATGCCATTAATGCAACATTTCAGCAAGTAATGTAAACTCATTATTGTTTAAGCCTCAGAGACCTCTTCCACATAACCTTTGTTTGGGGTGGATTTCCTAGATGGAAGTATGTGCTTGTGTGCTGTGTACTGCATATGAAGCAAGCCTCATGCAGCTTGCCAGTTTATGGACATATGCAAAAAATGACATCAAAGAAAAAGCTTTAGGGAAAGGCCTTATAAAAACCTGAATTTAGTATTTGACTCATGACATAGGCACATGGAGATAAGGAAGTGAATACATAATGCTAAAAGTAACGTCCCTAACTTTGTAAGGTCATGGTCCCGAGGCAAAATAATAGAAAAAAACATCATAGAAAAGCACTGTGGAAAAAATTCCCTTTATTTTTCAAATATGCAAACTATCTTTATTAAGACTGAAACTCACAGCATGAAGAAAAAGCCCTCGGGAATTAACATAGTCAAACTGCCAGAATGCCATGAACACACTGTACAGCACTGATTTGCAGTTATCTCTTTCTTCCTCGGGCAGAGCAAAAGAAGGACCTACAATTTCAGGGCAGTTTTCATGGGCAGATCTGACTCCTGAAACAACGTGTACGTATCACATACATAATGTGACACATGGCCTATCATCTGAAAATCCATTTTTTTCCCCATGGATTTTCTCTGTTAAAATTAATTTTGAAGATATATGTCTTAATCCAAGACCTACTCATGTATGTATGCATTGAGATAGCTCTCCGTTTCATCCCAAATGCTGCCCTTCTCATCATTAGGAATAAATCTGTTTGCAAATAGGAGAAACTTGGAAAGTTTCTGCAAATAGAAGCAGCAGGACTGCAGTAATGAAAAGACTGCGTAAATTCTCAAATACCCGATAATTTAAAAAGACAGTTGATAAAATGATTTAATACTTTCAGTTATCTAGTTCTGAAGGCTGAGTTAGTACAAGGTGACTGTTGTGTTTGGAAAGAGTACAAATACTTTTGTATTCTTAAAGCCTGCCTTCTTGCCAAGTTATATGCAGTGGGGATGTGGGTCCTTGGGATATGCGCAGAGAAGTCAAAGACGAAGTGGAGAATTTTCTCTATACATTGAGAAGTTCTCATTATGTCACCAGCAGGTACAACTCAAAATCGTTATGCATTGAGCTCCTTCCTGGTAAAGCTTGCTTTGGAAGACTCATTACTGGAATGAAGTAAAATAGCCTCTGTTGTTTTAAGGATTAGTTGGGTAAATCAAGGTGGGCATCAAAATGAAGTATGCAGCTTTGCAGAGTGAGAGTTTAGTATTGCCTTTCCTTCTTGGATTAGCAACAAAAAATTTAACTCTGTGTATATGTATGTTTGTGCACTTGCACCCCTTTCATATATAGAGGGGTGTGTGTGTATATATATATATATATGCAAATTCCTGACAATACTTTACTGTTCAGGTAATGTAAACAGATGGATAATCCCAATCATAAACTGGTTAACACCAGAGCTAAAAACAATGAGCTGAATTCTGAAATTCCCCATTGGAGACTGGTTTGCAGTATTTGAAAATGAGGTCTCCACTTGTTTGTGCTCCATTAATCTTGTGCTGAAAGCAGGAAATCACAAACGGCAAGGCTTGGAGTGTACTACTTTGTGGGAACATCTGAGATCATGTTGATGCAATGTGGTATGGAGAGTCCCTTTTATGATAGGTTTACATGTCTGCTAACAGCAACTGAAAATAGGTTGGACTCCTGATGAGTTTTCTTGAAGTATCATTAGGATCCTTCCAGATAGCTTTTAAGAATGATCGGGCTGAAAGGACCCATTGCAATATCTCTAAACCAGAAAGCATGTGCATATATTATAAAGCCAGAAGGGACCCTTATGATCATCTAGTTTGACTGTCTGTATAACCCAAGCCATAGGACTTCCCAGAATTAATTCCCATTTGAGCTAGAATCCAATCCAACAGTCTTTCCTTCCAATTCATCCGTCAGTTGGCTGTTTATATACAGGAAATCTCTTCAGAATTAGAATTCAATGCTTCCTTGAAAAGTTGGACAAATAGTCTGAAAAAAAAAAAAAAAGAAAAACAGTTTGCAGTTCAATATGGACAAATATAAATTACTGTTCTTAGGTAACAATGATCAACTGCGCAAACACAGGATAGGAAATTACTAGCTAGGCAGCAGTTCTGCTTAAAATGATGTAGGAATTACCATGTATTACTACTGCAGTGGAGTCAATGCTATTATGGTGGTGTGAAAAAATAAAGCACTTTATTGGTTTTTATAGGCAGGTCTGTTCTTTATGAAGGTTTAGACTCATGTCTGCTGAGCTGTGTTAATGATAAGCTAGCGCTGTCTTAGCCCACTATAGATACAAGCTAATGCGGTGTATCTTAAAACTCTTTGATTAAGATCCAGTCTTTAGATACAGCCATCTCATCAAAGTAAGAGTCTAACCTCACTAAGATTTAAGATAAGATGAACAGACTTGAATTTGCTGTATGTATGCATCCTGATCAGCTGATGTATAGCATGCTGTTAAACTATGGTAACTTGAACTCTAAAATCTAAATCTTAATGTACATGAAATATTCTTTCCTCAGTGCTCAGCACTAATAAATCTTTAGTCGGATTCTTGTGTCAAATTTTAGTTACTCCACTTTAAGAAAGATGTCGAACAGCGAAGAAAAAGTCCAGAGGAGAGGAACGTGAATGATTATTACCTGTGAGGGTATACAGGGTCTGTTTAGTCTAGAAAGGAGAAGAGCAGACATTATAATAGTATTCATACAAGATAAAAAAATACTGCAAAGAGGAGGACAATAATTTGTTATTCTGCTCACTTGCCCCCTGCTAGAGCAGATCTCTTGTCAGAATAAGCAACCTGCCTCCCATAGTCAGGAAACAGTCTGCTGCCTTAGGGTCTGGAGCCAACTACTACTAAATAGAGCTACAATACACTTCTATTTACCCTGCTTTGTTATCCACTTCTATGTGAGAGAGACACATTTGTCCATTTATCTCAGATTCCCAAAAATCATCCAGCCCATAAAACCAGAATACTCTCCCTAAAGAATGTGGAATGTGGCAGTACCAATATATAATCCTGCAATTCCTGAAGGACCAAAAAGAGCCTCAGGATCTGGCTTTGGACATCTCGAGAAATGTGTTTTAGGAAGCTTTGTTAGTGCTGGGGAGCTAAGCATGGGCAGTTGTGCAGTTGTGGTTGGCAAAGTTTACTCCAGCTGATGTCTCTGAGGTCTTCCTTCTGAGGTCCACTTAGGTGCACCTCTGAGGGTATGGCTAGGGCTTCTGGATGAAAAGGATCAGTGTGGAAAGCGAGAGTAGAGGGGTTTAAGTGATATACTGGGTTTGGAATAAAGAGCAGACCTCAAGTAAAAGCTGCCCAGTTTAGATATTTCAACTGTGCGACAGGAGGCTGCTTGCTGCCATTTCTGAGCTTAGCCATTTCTAAAGCAGGACAGTTACACTGTAATAGCCCCAAAACTCTGGATCCTTTACATCTTCCTGGTTGTGTCTAGCCATTCATTTTCTGGATGTTCATGGACCTGGATATTATGGAGCAAGACCTGCTGGTGCTGTTCACTGGAGTGAGAGATACAGGCTGTGTTCCTGGCCATGCCAGGGAAGGGGGATAGAGCATGGATGAAACAGGTCCCTACTTCTTGCTTGAGTCTCTGAGATGTTTCAGATGTCATGTAGGCTTATGTCCAAGTGTGTTAAACAGAAGCTGAGCTCCATTTGGTAGGAACTGAGAAATTTATCCTGAATGTGTAAGTTTGGGATCTGGCAAACTTGTACAAGTGCTGCGAAGTGATTGGGTACTGCCTATAAAAGATAAGGAGCTGTAGAAAGAGATATTTGGAGGCACGTTCTGGAGCAATGTAACTGAAGGGAAGTCACTTCTGAAAATAGCCAAAGATGAGCAAAGGAACAGTTTCCTTAGGAGTATTATGATGAGGAGTGAAACTGTTTTTTGAGCAGATCTGAGGTGGCAAGGAGTCATTCCTGGCATGGAGGTACCACCCAGCTGCTCAGGTGGGCAAACTGTTCTTAAACTTTGCATTTCCCCTTCTGGTTTCACCAAGAGGAGAACAGTTTGCTAAAGAGAAATGAAGTTAACTGGTGTTTGCCAGAGCTTGGCAGAGGGGAGAGCTGTTTCAGAGGCTGAAAAATGGATATAATAAATTTTTAATTATTGACTGCTTTCACAATCCTTTAGCAGCTTCCACTAATGAAAAGCCTATTGAGCCCTATTTGCACTACCAGCCAGCACAGTAAGCCCTGTCCCTGCTGTACGGTCCCACATTCCTTCAGGACCTGGGTGACTCCAGTATCTGCAGCTGGAAGGGTTGTCAGAGGAGTGAGAAGCTCTCAGGAAGCATCATCCGCCCATCTGCGCAAACACCAGGACTGTGAGCAAGGAGGACACTCTGTTTGTCATAAACACTCTTGCCAGTGAAGAGCTGAACAGGAGTCCTGGGGGTCTCCAGAGATCTCCAGGTGGCCAACACTAAAAGCTTTATGTGTTTGGGGGAAGCCACTGACCAAGTGAAGGCTTTGCAGCTGTATCCTGCAGGGCAGAGTCATCATGGCAACATTTTGGTGCCAGTCCACAGGTGGTGGTGTCACCGACCCACCTTGTCACTTAGCTGTGCTCACACTTTGGCTCAGAAACGAAGGAGCTCCTAGTCCAGCTCATTCGCTGAGTCTTCTTTACTCAGGTCTAACTCTTGGACCCGATAAGAATGACTAAATCAGGCTTTTGTGGAATAAAACTTTCTTTGCAGTTTAATTTTCTCCACTTTAATGCCAGTCAGAAAGAGATGGGGGAGAAAAGGGATCAGGGAAGACTGCATGTGGCAGAGGAGGGAGAAGAGTGTGCATCTTGGAGAGTGGATCTTTCTCTGTCCTTCACTATGGACAGGTTTCAAGTCTTGGCTTTTTACAGCATTAATTTGTACTCTGCCGCCTGATTTCACAGTGCTGTCTGGCTCCTGGGGTGCCTGTGGGTGTTGTTCTGTGGGCAAACCAGGTGGGAGAGCTGCTCTTTCTTCTCTATCACAGAATTACCAAGTTCGCAGTCCTGCGCATCCAGCTCATGCCGGGAGAGATGCTCCACAATGCCAGCCCCCAGAGAATCCCCCAGGACGTTGGTGGTCGTTCTAAGGCGGTCCCTGAAAAATCAGAGAGAAAAATGAAATACAGCTTCTTAGTAACAGCTAAGGGGATGAAGACTCTTTCAAGAAACATCTTCAATGAAACTTTTTCTACTTTTCAAGTAACTCTAATGATTGACACTTCAACATTGACAGGAAAATGACTCCCAGAGAGCCTTCCTTGACTGATGGCCCGGTGCACAGGCTTCACATTCATTCCTGGTCTATTGCATTCCCAGTTTCTCACTGAAAAGTTTTGGACTTGCCACAAAATGAGAGAAACATCATTGTGGTTCCACATGGACGGTTTCCTTTCCAAAGGGCTTCTAAGGCCTTTCTGCAGACTCAGATAAGCCTTGCCACATCAGTTACACTTGAATTGCATTTTGTTTTACAAAGAGCATGGAAATTCTGGTGCAAACCTATGACTTAGTGCTGCTGTAGAGCCAGATTTCCTCAGCATGCACAGTATACACTAAGATAAGGCACCAGATTCTTTGTGCAAATTAGCAAATCTAAAATACCCTTTGCGATGAGATGTTCTCCACAAACACAACTGTACGTAAGAGCTGAAGCTGTCACCAGTCCAGCAACCCATCATATCCTTCAGCGGTAACAACAGATAAGACTTTTGGTATCTGATTGAGACCAACCTTTCTGGGTATGTACAAGAGGTAACCTGGCATCTTAAGAGGCAGGGCTTTTTCCAGCCAAGTCTGTTCTTATGCACAGTTCACAGGAGAAGTGGAGGTGTAGGGCAAGACTCCACTTCCAACTGCTCAGCCATGGCTGGGAGCAGACTTTGGCTACTTTCGCTATAAACCAGCAATTCAAGATACAGAAGAACAGAGGAAATACTGACAGCTTATCCCTGAGTCAGGATTTTGTTGTGTTTGAGAAGACTGAGAGAGCGAGGACTGTGCACAAATGCATTCTTCACTCCTGTTCCTAGGAGCACTCCTGTGCAATCAGTTTTCCCAGGGTTTAAAAGGAAAGAAAGCTGAAATGAAGCAATGTAGCTGACTAGCTGCACCCATCTAAACATTCCTCAACTTTGTACAACCCAGTCTCATCCCACTTTCCATGTTTGGCAGCACAGAACCATCACTCTGCGGTGTGAATTTGCTTATTATAGGCACAACCTGTCCCTGGCGGTCTGGAGATAGTTTCTGGGTACCTTTTAAGATAAAGCAAACTAAGGACATTCTGCTTGGTGACCAGGCTGATCTGCAAGTGACCTCTGATGCCCTGAGTCACTGAAGTACATGGTGAAGACTCCAGCATAGGCAGAGAAGGCTACTGGGCAAAGGTCTCATGGGTACAGGTGTGTTTTAAGCTTAATGATACAGGTTACAGAGACTGCTTTTAGCAGAGACATTGGGAGTACAGACAAACTCTGTAAGCACTGGCAGGGAGTGCACAACAGTGCATGCTACTGAGCAGAGAACTTACAGAAACCAGTCCACAGCGATGATCAGCGTAATGTCTTCAGTAGGCAGCCCGACTGATGTCAACACTATAACCATTGTCACCAGTCCTGCCTGGGGAATACCTGCGGCTCCAATGCTTGCCGCCGTGGCAGTGATGCTGGAGGGCACAGGAAAGCACAGCTATCAGCAAAGGGGAGAAAACAGGTAGTCGCACTTGCAAAAATGTTGGGAAGTAGCTCAAACTCATGATTTACAAAACCCCTTGGCAGCCTTTCTGCCCTGGTCACCGAGCAAGATGGTGACACATGGGACATCAACACAGCAGCCAGGCTGCCACCCTGCCAGACACCCATCCATAACAGACTACACACTGCAGCTCTAGCTAAGGGATGGCCCAGGCCTGGAAATGCAATAAGGGCTCAAGTGGAGCCTCAAAGATGTGGTGCCAAAATCATATGTGCTTCTACACCTGGAGATGTCATACAACCTTCTTTTCCATACTTTTTTCCCCCTCATTATATCTTCTGAGCAAAAGAGGAACCTGACCATACTTCAGATAAGTCAACAAAACTGAAGCCCTTCCTGTAGTCCCAAAACCCTTTCAAAAGTCACCTTATTGTGATGATCTGCCCGAAGTCAAGTTCGTAGTTGTTGACTTGTGCAATGAAGATGGCTGCAAGGGCCTCGTACAGAGCAGTGCCATCCATGTTAATTGTAGCTCCCACAGGCAGAACAAACCTCGTGATGCGCCTGTCCACACCATTGTTTTCTTCCAGGCACCTGAAGGTGATGGGCAGAGTCGCTGAGCTGAAAGGAATTTACAAACCAACATGAATTGGATATATGCTGACTTTGGAAGAGGGACTGAGCCTCTGCCTGGTTTATGACCTTACCCACCTGCTTTTTCACCCTGCCATGTGAGCCAGAGGCCAGAAGCTGCTAGGAGAAAGAACAGTCTAAGCAAGGCTTCCTCAGATATGGTGTATGGCAGTTGCACATTCAGACATGGCTTTCCTTAGGGGGCTGGGGGAAGGGCTGTGCAACCCTGAGGCTGATGATGCTGGTATAACACCAAAAGAAGGTGATTCTGGAGGGTTCAGCATACATAGGACAGAGCCTCAAGACCAAAACTCCTTTTCCAGCTATTAAAAAAACTTGAGCCCTTTCTCACCCCCCTCAGTGCATAAGACAAAGAATGACCCATGTGTGAGAATATAGTTTGCAGAGAAAGCAGAGGATTGTGTCTGAAAGAGAACATGAGCAGGAAAAATGCTGTGTGTTTCAATGTGAGAATGCATGTGGGAGAGACTGTTTTGTGCTTGCCAGGAAATGAATATAGGAATATTGGCACTTAGTGAAAAAACAGCAACCTGCAATCCCTTGCTTTGGCTGTGTTGCATGGCAGTGTGAGTCATTGAACATACGGGTGTTTATGACTTTGCCCAGGCCTCTGGTGAGTTTAATGCCAGCTACATGCAGAATGTGTGCCTGGGAGAGAGAAATGTGCAAATGTATGCGAGTACACGTGTATGAGACGTATGGAATGGAATAATTCTGCAATTCAGTGGGATTTGATATTTGTCCTGACCTCAGCATTTCAACGCTGCAAGGAGAGTCACCACCATGTTTGGTAAGGAGGAATATGGACCACGCACTGATGGTTAGAGGTGGCGATGTGATTAGGGTTCATGAGCAGGGGAGCCAGAATCTTTCCACTCTCAAATGAGATTGGCTGGACCAGTGCAAAAAGCTGCTAGTGCTAGAAATTGTAAGACCACAGTGCTGCATTGAGGGCAGTGGAGTGCTGAGAAGCAGCCCCAGAGTATCCACACCAACCCCAACCCTACTCTTATGTAGCCATCGTACCTTGAGGAGGTGCCCAGGGCTGTGATGAGGGCCTGCAGAAGCCCTGCAATGAATACCCAGGGGTTCCTGTGAGTCACGATGAAGTAGAGCAGTGGCAGGATGCAGAGGGCATGAATGAGGAGTCCAATGATGACGGTGAGCGTGTACATCCCCAGCTGGCCTCCCATCACTGCTAGGTCATCCATCTCCAGGATTTTGCCAGCAATTAAAAACATGATCCCAACTGGAGCATACCTGTGGCAGAAACACAAGGCCAGTGCTCAGAACTGTGGCCCACACTTTCACAGCATCTTTAATGCATGCTGTCTGGACAAACCCCCAATAAGCCAGCACACCAGAAGTGCTCACTAAGCCTAACCATCAGATGATACTGCTCGTTTCTTGTCTGGAAATCCAGAAAGAGATGGGACTTGTTCACCACATGGTTACAAAACAGCTCTTGTTGCACTGTCGGGGACCCCAGCACTCTGTTGTGTGCACAGCTTGGGCACTGGTGGAGGTTTCCTCCTCCTTTTGGGTTCTCAACATGATTCCACAACACTCCTTGTATAATTGATAGGGGAGGTTATGTAGAGGAATCTTCAGAGTCCCTTCCTTTCCTAATAGAGCTTGGGCTGAGAGTATTTTACTGAAAGGCACAGGGAAGTACAAGAGAAACAGAGAATCGGGGAGTAAAAGCATGAGTATCCTATAGGCTCTGGAATATCAGCCTTGCTATCTTCAGACATTCACATTTAGGGAATAGGAACATACAGGGAATCCATATCTAGTGTAGCAAGGACTGGGCACACCAACACCTGTGAAAGCAGCCGTGGCTTATATAAAAACCCATTTTGAGGTACACTGCTATCCTTTCCATTCCTTATGACTTTTTCCCCCTTCCATAACAAGGCATCTGATGAGCAGCAGTGAGGCTCCACAGAAAGGAAGCCATAACACAGACATGGAGAATATCATGGGCACTAAACTAAACATGGACAAATAACTGGACCAAAGAAAATCCCAGCTCCACGGCCACACCTGTCAGGGCTGGGCCCCTACAGCTCAAGAGCTCACATGCAATTCATGCACAAGGCTCAGAGGTCCACATGCCAAACTCCAACTTAGCCTAGGAGGTTTGGAAAAGTTTCAGGAAAGGATTTCACAAATATTTCATTTCCTCTGACCTTCTTCTTAGAAGACATCCTTGGCTGCAGCTAGTGGCCAGATCTCCCCAGGAAAAATAAGCTCCTGGGAGATGGTCTGCAGACTGTGGTTTCAGGAAGGAGTGCTGGGCTGCAGCTGACAGTCCTGCCTCCAATATGAGCAGGATTTTGTAAGTCGGAGGTCTCTCCAGACACTACCTGCTGTATGCGCACAGTCAGTTTCCTGAGCATAACCGATGTTCTATACATCAACACCCTGCCTTCCTTCACTGTAAGGGGGAGCTGAGGGAGTGGGTGTTGAAGTCACATTGAAATTGTCTCTGAGAGTAGTGTGCAGGTCTGCTTGTTCCACTGTGCCCTTGGGCAACTCTTACCTCTTCTTAGGAAAGCAAGGCCCCAAGTTCTGGCTCATCTGTGCAGGAAAAGAACCCAGAGGGGCTGAGGCTCCTCAATGCTCTGCTATAAGTTCAGGGTTGTTCTTCCCCTTTGTGTCTTTCTAAGCCCTGTCCCCCTGTGCTCAGGATGTTGCTTTGAGATACAAGGCTCTGACTAGAAGACCAGGGGAAAGACGCTGGATCTAAAATGGGAGAGAGTGCAGAGCTGACAGATCCCTTCCCTGTCAGACATTTCCATGTATTCTGCCAGCCCCACATCTCTCCTTTCTCATGGTACCTACTACAAACTCCTATTTAGACCTTGAGCGCTAGATGAGTAAAGAGCTTAAAATAACAAGATTTGGCAAAATGCTGCCTTCCAGAGAAGACTTATCTCAGCAATGCCTTGCTTATTTGGACCATGTAGCACAGGCAGCCTTACACAGGAAGCAACAACCAGCTGAGCTCAAGAGGAGTCGGGATCTGGGAGACTTCAAATTGAAAGGCAGTAACTTTGAGTTGACCTTAACCCAGCTCAGCTCTCAGAGCTAATGCATACAGGTGCCACCCTGAGTAGCAGGAAAGTGGCAATAGGTTATTGTGGTTCATAGCTAAGTCAGACTCCTGGAACGTAGCTGGAAGGAAAGCTTTTGGTGGGAAAGCCTCACACCCTAGCCCTGTTGATAAGGCTAAGAGATCTTCCACTCCAGCTCTCTGGTCTTCCAAGGATGTTTCCAGCAGCCTCAAGGAAAGCAAGTGCTGGTGTACCTGATATTTCTAAGGTAAAAACAAAAAACAGGAAATGAAATGTGAACAAATATCCCATCCAGACTTTTCCCTCCAGCCTGATGGAGCCAAAGGAGAGCTGTGCCCATCTGCTTTTCCTGTGCATGTTATCCTTAAAGCTACCCCACTTCTCATCAGGTCAGTGGAAACTGCACCTGCAGACCTCCTGCTCCAACCGGCCGTGCTCCTCACCAGATGATAATGGCCACCAGCCTCATGATGGCTTCGTTGAGGCAGTTAAAGAACTCCCGCAGGGCCCGTCCCTTCTGCTTCATGCTGCCGATCACCAAACCGAAGCACATGGAGAACACTACCAGCCCCAGCGCGTTCACCCCATTGGCTGAGCCTGGGATGGGAATGACTTCTTCAAAGGTCAGCACCTCGGAGACGGTCCCCAGGGCATGAGTGACGTTCTCCAGGATGCTGGTGAAGTTCTCAGGCATAGGGATCTGAGTGGTTGTCACACCTGGTGTGACATTGCTGCTGTGGAGGACGGTTCTGGTGAAGACCCTGGTGCTGTACTGCGTCTTGTACTGAAAAGACACAGATTATCAGATGCATTCACAGGCCCTGGTTCAGGAGCTCAGGACAACATGCTAGGTTCTTGCATCCCTTCCTAAAGAGAGTACTGCAAGTTCCTGCTGGCCTGTGTGGTAAACTTGTCTTGTCTGTTCTCAAGCTCCCTAGCTTAGTGCTTTTATCAAAAGGTTCATAGAACTCAAGGTCAAAAGGGACCACTGGAACATCTCATATCCCTAGGACTGAGATATTCTGACTTCTCTGATAACCCTTTATGCTGCTTCCAAGGGCACTAACACTACAGAAGAGACAAATCCTTGGAGAGTCTGCTCCCATTTCACTGCCAGTGCAAGCCTTGCTACCTGAAATCACACAAACACTTCCTGACTCTGAGTGTGGGATGGGATGGAGGCTGAAGCCCCCATAGATGTAGACATGTAGAAGCTGTAGACGGACAGCTTGAAAAGCTTGCATGGAGGATGCTGTAATACAGACTAATGACTGCAGTGCCTCCTGCAGCAGTCAGACTTGGGGAAGTGTGAAGGCAGTATAAGGCAATTGCTATTCCACCCCTCAGAGAAGTAGGCTGGACCATGGTCTAGGGCACAGGGTGCAAAGGAAAGTGATAGGCCAGGTGGGACTTCATACCTGTTTGAAGCAGGCTTCTACCAGGTTGGGTGGGAACATATTCCTGCAGTAGATAAAACAAGGAAAGAGTTATTGTACTGTTTGACTTGCAAGAAAACATGGGCTTCTTGGCCAAGGCCTCTGTCCTGAAGCAGTGTCTCAGGTCACAACTCTCACAAAGCCAGCTCAGGCTACAGAGCAGAGGGTGGGAGTATGCTCATCTGGAGCCAGGCACCCTCCAGCATCCTTTCAGGCTCCCGCTGCATCTTTTCTGACTCCAGAAGGTTGTATTTCAGGTATATGGAAAGAGACTACACACATACAGCACTGGGATATGGGTACATTGTAAAAGCATCATCAAACCCAATTGAACCTTGAAACAATACCATATTACAATTTTTAATATACTGCCTTGCTCTCAGCCTCGTCTCTACAGCTGTTATTTGAGCTCTCTGTTATTTTGTACCTCAGAAACATCGCTTCATACCACTTGAGATGGTACAGCTTTGCAATTCACTGTGTAACATCACAGCAAGGGCAGGAAAGACAATGTCTTGGGAACCTCTTCCTCGGTGTCCTTCGGTCAGTGAAGATGGATGTTTGGAGTAGCCTTTGCTTGGTGGATTTCTGAAGGGCATGCAGTCATTGATAGTTTTCATTACTTGTTTTGCTGAGCATGCCTTGGCCTCTTGCATTAATACCTCTAACAGGAGGGCTGAACTCCAGTGCTCCAGGCCAAGCATTTAAAGCCAGTTAGCTAGACTGAGCTAGAAGTAGTAGGTTGGGCAAGACTTAGCCATAAACCTC